TCCAACTCCTCACACCCTATTGGCATATTCATCGCCCTGATGACGGAGGCAGTATGACCTCTGAAACGTTGGTTAACATCGACCAGACTACACAGCGCAATAACCCAGAAGACAGAAATCTTCATATTCACCGCTGTGAGAACCTCAAGTCTTACATGCTTAGAGATGCTTACACTGACATAAACTGTACAAAAATCAACGCAAATTACATAAGTAAAACATACCAATCAAACTATTAATAGGCAAAGATTAATCAGTTGATTTATTGACTACACAGCCTGTATAAATGTAAAATGACTAGCTACGAATTTGGAACAGTGCAAGAAGAATAGAGTTGTTAATATCTTCTCTAAAAGAAAACATTTAAAACATTAAAAAATATACATAAAAATTACTATGAAGCAATAACTTCTCGAGGGGTCCCTGAATTTCACACTAAATAAAGAAGCTTTAAGCATAAACTAAAGTAGAAAATCATAAACGAATGAAAGCAGGCGTTAGAATTACCAGTCAATATAGAAAAGATTACATAACTAACTATAACTTTTGTCTAGAGTTAATTACAAAATTCAAGTATCCACAACTGTAACTATCAATTAGTGTACAAATAAATTAATTTGTATAATAAAAAATAAGTTTACATTAAGTGTTAGTTTATGCAGATGTTAATTACATAAAACATAAGTTTGTCATAACATAATAAATAACTAATTCCATGGGGCACAGTCCATAAGAAGTAAATAATTACTCTGCTAGTTAAGAACTTCCCAATCTTCTACGGAACTTAAAAAGGTACATTACTGTACTCCAGTGGTCCCAATAATTGAGTCCAAACCCTCCTACCCTATTACCCATTTTAAAACTCAAAAATTCTGTTTGCATTTCTCATCCTCCCCCATATATATATATATATACAGGATGAGTCAGAAGTTTGTTTACAAATTTCGTGTGCCTGTTCCAGGATCAAAAATAAGAAAAAATGTTACTATAAACACAGGGTCGCAAATGTTTCATTTTCGAAATAATAGCCAAAAATAAGTTTCAATTTATGCCTTTATTGCCAAGTATAAGGACAGGGATGCTTCTTTATAACAGATGCTCAAAGGTTGTTCCCCCATTTCCACACATGCACGAGCATGACGTACACAAGGCTGACGAATTCGATGGAAGCACGTGTGGACCAATAAGCATGTCGCCAACAATTCCTGTCCAAACGTTAATTGAAAGTAACACATGCACGAGCATGACGTACACAAGGCTGACGAATTCGATGGAAGCACGTGTGGACCAATAAGCATGTCGCCAACAATTCCTGTCCAAACGTTAATTGAAAGTATTTGCCGGAAGCTGGATTCACTTTGATATGAAGTCAATTCATTGAAAATTATTTTTAGCTATTATTTAGAAAATGAAACATTTGCGACCTCATGATCATAGGAGCATTTTTTTTTATTTTGATCCCGGAACACGTACACAAAGTTTGTAAACATACTTCTGACTCACCCTGTATATGTGTGTGTGTGTGTGTTACATGCTCTGCCCATCCCATCCTCTTTAATTTAAGAATTGAATGCATCAGAATACTTTTTTCTGTGAATATAATTATGAAGATAATATTCATGGTACCGAAGACATTTTTATCCTCGAGGCCCTTTAATATGCCAGAAAGTACTGCATTAAGCGTCGTTCTCATCTGTCGAAACTATCGCTTTTAATGTGATAACCCTGAGATTTGAGGTTCTGACATCACAGAAGTCATTATGTTGATTTTAGTCTACTGGGTTGCAATGCGATGTCGACTTGCAGAAAGATACCAACATTTATGGAGAAACAAACTCTGCATCTTCAGTCCACATGGCATCACAACCCAGAACACTGATGCGATATATCCTGTATAACAAGTTTAATTACCTTTAATTTAATAAAATTTGTCAGAAATCTGAATAAATACAGAAATGACCATACAAATTACTGACTGCTCATGTGCAAAACAAATATCAAGCATTAAAACAGTACTTTCTACTGTTCAAATTGTAAGACGTTAATTTTGTCACACACCTTACAAAAGTAAGCACTCATTTTATGAACACGTTAAAAATTCAGTAATTGCTGGAACATAACATTTTGTGGCTATTAATCCTAGAAACAGCAGCTTCAAATTCCTGTAATGACAAAAGTACTCGGGAAACACAATTCAAAATACTTTGAGGGGATGAGGGGGGGGGGGGGAAGCGGCTGTCACACTACGGGTTCAGCAATATTTTTTCCACAACATATAATGGTTACTAAACTGACAGGAAATCAACAGTTATATTTGTAAACAATTTTAAATGTTGGAATATTACCTACTGGAACTTCCAGTCGAGGCAACAGTTATCTAGTTCCTGCTAGCAAAACAGCTGATTCTGAACATAAGATTACAAACGTAAGTACTGTTTAAGTGTTTGGTATAACAATTTCAAGTGTCAGTCTTTCAATGTCATATAACTATTTACAATTATGTAAGATTTGAGGTTTTCACAGCGGTGAGTATGAAGAAGATTTCTGTCTTCTGGGTTGTTGCGCTGTGTAGTCTGGTCGATGTTTACCAACGTTTCAGAGGTCATACTGCCTCCGTCATCAGGGCGGTGAATATTCAACAACAACCCAGAAGACAGAAATCTTCTATTTACAATTAAATTTATTTCTACAAACCCGAAGTGCAGTAAACATCTATAGTCGGGTGGTATCAACAGGAACCTACCCATATTTTTACACCTGTTACTTATCCAGCCTATATACAAATAATAAAAATTTACAACTGCAATATTTTCATTTATTCAAAATTTTATGACCAAATCTCACTATTTGGGTAGGGATCACTAAGCACTGTGAATCCATGTTCAAAATCATAATTTGTGGAGGGTAAAACTTATAAACCCACACTCTTGGACAAGTGACAATGTTTGTAAACAATTCTTGGACATAAATGCTGTCACGATAATATACGAAACATTAACAAATACAGTGGCTGAACAGGAATAACCAATTAACTGATACAATAATAATTCCAGTGACAGAAGTGAGGTTAAGTAAAGTACACGAATAACTGTAAATGACAAGTATCGCTTATTTCAAGGCATCATATGAGCAACTATATGAAAACACTGACGAAAATCATGAAAATTATCATGTAAGTTGGTCCCAGCAAATATACTAACTGGCATCTAAATATAAGGGAGTGGTAGTCATTAATTGCTGCTCAGATAATATTTTCGAAAAGGTAAATAAACATGGCGTGTTCACTTACATTGAAGTCTAAATCATAATAAACTTGACTTCTAGTTAAATTTCAAATTTGGGGGGAGGAAAAACATCAGTTCCAGGGAATTAACAAATGTAACATTTGTTTCCTACCTTATCATGACTCTCTTTTAAATACCCTACAAGATATTACTTCAAATTCAGCATTTTGGTCATGAAGAATGAAAATAAAATAATTCTGGGAGAGTTTTACTCATTATAAAACATGAACACCAAGATCTTTTGTAACTTACCTCAAAACCATAACAACACGTAATAAATACTATAGGAAATTTAGAATTCTGATAATACACTTTCTAACACCGTCCAGAGCACTAGGACAAAGTCATTGATTGGTTGGGTCATTGCACACATAATACTTTGTATAAAATCTACACTCACTCAAGTTTTAGTTCTCCGACTGTACAACACTGGAGAGAATGAAGTTAAAAATCAAATTAAAAAGTGCCAACCATGCAAAAATACATTCTTGAAGGCACACTTATGAAAAATATAAAACAACATATCTGTAAGTGTATACAAGAAAATGTGTACAAAAGCAGAATGTTCTTATACCTTTGTTTAAAGTTGCAAGAAGTACGAAAGTACAAGGCGATTTAAGGAAAGTATCTCAATAAGACTTAACGCCTCACTTTGATTAAAAAGGGGGAAATAGAGCAAAACTCTGCATCTCACTTTATCGAAAAGTAGAACTGATAACAGAGAAAATAAAAGAATAAAAACAGCTTCACAAAAAACAGGTTGGCTTTGAATCAAGTCGTTCAACTGTTCTGTTAAATCTGACCATTCTTCCGTACCCATTTTACAGTTAACATGACCTTGTATTGCTTATAACAATAACTACAGTACAATTTAAATTTAAATTATAAATTTATGTGCACCTACAAATACAAATCTCATAAGGCCCTTTATAAAAATTGTTCTCTTTAAACAACGTATTACACTGCGTATGAAGTTTACAACCTCACTTTTCATTTCGAAATGCGAACGTTTCACATCTGAACATCTTATAAAATTTCCCCACTGCATTATATGACTGTAACAGGCCATTCTTCACACGTATTGCCTGCAGAACTCTACGCCGCTTCTTTTGTCCGACTGTAATTATGCTCTTTTCTACTATTTGTAGTGTATTTCATCACTAAAAAATATACATTATATAATTTAATTTAGAACTTCATTTTGTGTATTTTTAAGATCTTCCCAAGACGCTGTTTAGCTGTTGCCATGCCTTTCTTGGGCTTTCGGACTGAAACAAAAATAAAGATATTTCATACTAATAATGGATTAAATTAAATTACAGTGGGAAAACAACACCCAACACTTTTAACCTGCTTCCATTTACTACAGGGCATTTTATTTTCAAACACTAGTAGGAGGGGGGGAACGGACTATATCCTCATGGAATTACCACCACTAATAAGACCATTATCCAGGCCCCAAATATCATCATGTATTTTCACCATAAAGTATGATTTTCAACCACAATGTGATGTGTGTTTTGCAAACCCAAATAAAATTCCCTGTGCTGCATGTTACTGAGAAAAAAGTTCTAGCAAGAATATATTATGCTTGCATTTACTTAAATGCTTCCAGGCTGTGCAGCTGTCATGTTCATGCACACTCAACAAAAGTTTCATACTTTTTAAAGATCACTACACAAAATTTAGGACACTATATTAAAGGCACTAATGTTGCAGGAACCTTAGATGTTTTGCTAAACCACATTGCTCTTACTGTAAAATTAAATTAAATCATATGAATGTGAAGTGATCTCCAATGGCATGTCATTCATACACATTTCATGAAAACTGATAAGTTTGTTCACATGTTATATATAAAGTAGATAGTCATTCCACACTCATTTGACAAATGCGCAAAATAAGAGCATAAACACGATGTCTTTAACTCTACATTCAATTTTAAAGGTAGGACATGTGCCGATATGCATACAGCAGCTGTACAGTCAAGCGAAAGTACTTACATTTCACATCAACCTTCTTCATTGGTGAAGTCGAAGCCTGAGGCTCTGAAGGCAATTTTGGTTTCTTTCTGTTGTACAGCCTCTTAGGGGACTGCAAATATACATTAAATAAATTTATTGTATAAAAATTTAATTCAGGAATATTCTGTATTACTTTTTCAATATCTCTTTTATGAAGAGGATTTAGGAAAATATTCCAAATAATGCTGGCTTGTGTTATAATGAAACATAATAAACCTCAAAATTTATGTATTTTGTTAATAAGTACAGGCCAAATATAATAAGTATCATGCAAAGATTTACCTTCTACAAATCCTTGAAAGATGACTAATGTGCCAAACATATTTTAACACGCACAAGTGAGCCTGCACTTATATATTATTTTCATCACTTTTATTTTTTAAAAGGATAAGAACCACACCATAAAACAGCACATTTTGAACACACTATTTGGATAAATCAAATGTCCAGGAATCAAAAAGCTATATACCGGTAATCCTGCACGTTTTGCGGCAGCAGCTTCAAGACCCTTCTCCACTGCCTGCTTCTTCGTTCCCTCTCTTGTTGGCCTATCTGTTTTTGGAACTAGAGGACCAACACGTGCTTTCGGATTCCATGCTTCATCCAGCTTCCGTTTTCCTCTGGGTTTGAAAATTAGATCTTCATCATCTGAACCATCTAATGCTGGATAAACTACACAATTAAAAGAAGAAAAAAAGATTAATGTTGGACCACGTACTTTATTTACTAGAGCATCTCTCATCATCATCAGCACCAATACCTTCAAGGCTATCTTTTAACAGCTTCTTGCTGGAACAATATCTCGGAAACATGTGCATTTGTATAATATCAAGCAAACTCAAGGAGGGACAAATCTGAATTTTATTTTACTTATAAATGCTTTCTCAGGTATAAATGTTAATAATGCATATAATTATGAAGATTTCTGACAGAGGCAGTATGACCTCTGAAACGTTGGTTAACATCGACCAGACTACACAGCGCAACAACCCAGAAGACAGAAATCTTCATACGCACTGCTGTGAAAACCTCAAATCTCGCACATAATTATAATTGATGACTTGGGAAGGATGATGGAGGAAGAGGGAATGGCTTTATCCCATGGAGGAAAGAAGGAGAACAAAAGAAACCTCAGTTAGCTATAACTAGCCTTTAGACCAAGAACTAAACCCTGGACCTACTGAACACAAGGTAGGAGTGTACCAGACACTTACTGTAGTCTTCATCCTGATGAACTTTGTCAATATTTTCTCCATAGTCATCAGAAAATTGGATCTTTTTTCTTCTAAGTCGTGGAGATGACATTTCATCCTTCGAACTACTGTGGTCAGGCATGAAAGCTCTGCTTATGTTTTTTTTTCTGCAATAGCCTCCCTTGTGGATGGAGAAGCTCTGCCCGAACTAAAAGAAGCAAGGAGCGTACTTTGCATATTACAAAACTGTGCATTTCACATTATAAATTATATAAGACATACACTTTACACTCCAGCATCACCTTTTAAATTTAAAAACTTTAACCCATTTGGATCATCTGTCGGACACCGTTCAACATTACCCAGTGAGATATCACATACTACGCCTGATCTTCTTACTATAAAAATTTGTGATTCCTCGTTGTCTTCAACAAATTTGTCGTCAAAAAATGACGTCATCAACAATGCCAACAGATATTTGTTTACTCGGCATTGTTGTGGAACACAACAATGCCGTGTAAACAAATATATGTTGGCATTGTTGAAGTCGACACAACAATGCCGAGTAAACAAATAACGCTTCACAACAAGGAAATCAAAGAATATCAAGTCAGTCGCATTATCACTGCTCCAGAAGCAGCATGTCGCATTCTTAAGAATTGACTAACAGTTGTCCTAAAACATCAGGAAAGTGAAAGAAGACGTTATCAAGTATTTGAAGTACCAACTCCAACAAGGTAAACTGATACGCATTCGATATATTACGATTACGAAAACTATTATGAAAACTGACTCCTGCAATAGCCTCCCTTGTGGATGGAGAAGCTCTGCCCGAACTAAAAGAAGCAAGGAGCGTACTTTGCATATTACAAAACTGTGCATTTCACATTATAAATTATATAAGACATTCACTTTACACTCCAGCATCACCTTTTAAATTTAAAAACTTTAACCCATTTGGATCATCTGTCGGACACTGTTCAACATTACCCAGTGAGATATCACATACTACGCCTGATAAAAAAAAAATTGGTAAATAACTGAGTTATCGGATATTGCAGTAGATGCTCATCTCCAATTCAATAGCAGCCTGCTCTTGTGTTCCACTAATCAGTACCATCAAATCTAGTTTGCAATCTACTACCTGACCTACATAAAGCTTCCAAAAATGCCCAACCATTACATACTCACCCTGTAGATGTCAATGTCTGCTGTAACAGATAATTTTTACACATGACATGACATCTCCAAAGGCCAAAATTGTACAACCCCTTCTATTACGTATTTATTCTATTTAGTTTATGGAAAACAAATTTGGGGACAAACATTAACAAAATAAAACACTTACTCTATGTCTTCTAATCTTGGATTGTGTTCCCCACGGTCTGCATAACCAGAGGCTTTCAGCAACTCTTCAATTCCATTCTTTGGTGCGTCTGAAACAACATCCACTTCACCCGCTACATCCAGCTCCGAATTTGGCTCAGATCTGCCATTTAAATAGAGGCCTAAAACAGTACACATTATAAAGCAAGCATTATATTCATCTAGTTACGGGATAAGTGAACAGTATGTGTCCGCTACATTTTTTTTAAAAAAAGAGATGTATCATCAAAGCAATCACCAACATAAAGATTTTATACCTTTCACAAAAACTGACCAAATTATTATGGAGGATGAACAGTTTTTCAGCCCAATTAATGTATCTTAATTTAAAAATCTGATTTGTGAAAGCTGGCCTGGCTCAAGCCTGAAATCTGAGATTCAGTCAACAAAATCCATACACAAGGAACAACATTGGCACCTGAATGGATAGCTGGTGTACCGACTTAAACTTTAACCATATACGAGGTCTGTTCAAAATGTATCGGACCTTAATTTTTCCCAGGGAAACAAATGAAGCACGGGAGGTGTCCTCCGGTGA